GTGTGACATGATTTGTTTGTGTACAAACTAATACAGTATCAGAGTTTTATATACAGTATTTATACTTCTCATTCAACCACAGTTAAATTCACTCTATCTAGGAGGCACAGTTTATATGGATAGTTTTTATTTTTTACAATAACAAGCTGGAATGAAGACAAGCACAAATGAAATAAAAGTAACGACTTTCTACTTCTTACCTTTTTTAATAATGTAAGGAGTAGAAAGTACAGATAACTGTGTGAAAATGTAAGAAGTAGAAGTAAAAGTTATGCTGAAAAATAATTACTCAAGTAAAGTACAAATACCCAACAATTATACTTAAGTACAGTAAAAAAGTATTTGTACTTAGTTACTTTATAACTGTTTGTACCTTTAAAGAACTATCACACTCAGTGGTTGTGAGTTGGGATACATAAATCAGTGGCTGATAGACAAACAAACTCTCTGTTTCACTTCTTTTATTACTCGTTCTGTCACAGACATTTCATTTACATTATATAAAATTTGATAAGAAAACCGCTAAAAGCAGCACTTTGTAATTATGAATCTTAATATTGATTTTAGTTAAACAGAGGTGTTGCAGATGGGCCAAAGAGCCGTAGGCTGCAGACCATGGGGTCAGAAGGTTTTCAGATGGCTGGACTAACTGCAGCACCTTTGTTAAGCAGATTAAGCAGAGGGTTCTGTGGGACAGGGGTGTGTTTGCAGCAAAGGGCGGAGCCAGCTTGAGTAAAACAGTCCACAGTTGGTGCTGCTGACAAAGCTGCTTGGATTTCCAGGCAGGGTATTACAGAAGACAGTGAAGAGGCACCGTAAATGTCTTATTATAGATGGGCTGACTAAATGTCTCTTCAAGCTTTGGATCATCAATCATCGATGGCTTTTGACAAACGTAGGAAACTTTCAGTTGTGTTGACTCCTGGAGAACGCTTCATGAAGCTGGCTGACAGGATGCACAGGCCATGAAGGATTACTGCTCACATGTTGCTCAGGAGACGAGGGCTGAAAGGTGGGCTGAGGATGACAGCACTCTCTGTCCTGTGGCCAGGGAAGGCTGCTGTGGTTCTAGGCCTGGCCAGGTTCTGTTGTTTAGAGGAAGTGGGCCCTAAAGCGTGCGGGACATAATGTTTGAGCTGGCCTCTCTCCTCCTGCTTCTCCAGAACATGCTGCTGGAGGTTGAAGAGAAAGTGTCGTCCCTGTCAGAGCTGTTGCAGCACAGTGAGAACCTGCTGCTGGAGGGCCAGACCGATACCAGGCAGGAGGCTGAGCGTCTGGCTGCCAAGTTACACACACTGAAGAGTGGCTTACTGGACTTACACAGGCTGCTACAAGACAAACAGCTTAAAATTCAGGTGAGGTCACTTTTAAATGTTTACAGATTAAAACATCAAATCGCATCAGGTTGCCCAATTTTTTTACCGTTTCTCTACTGGCCAAATATAAAACTGATCAGCATTCGACCACTGTTCTGAAAATGTTGTGTGAAATGTTTTAGACAACTTATTTTATGAGTCGAGGGGGATGTGGAGGTTGAAGGAGAGAGGCACGGGACTCAGGGAACACAAACACAACACAGAAGGGACTTAACACAAAATACACACAAAAGATTCAAGGGGACGACCAGGAGATGGTCCAAAGTTTGAGGACACTAAAGCAGAATCGTCTGATAGATCAGTGGTTCCCAAACTTTTTATCTTCTGACCCACAAAATATCATGGCAAAAACTTGTGACCCCAAATATTACTGGTCTGAGTACACAAACTTTGTTAATAACCCTAAAAACACAGGCTTTTTGACAATCTAAACAGCTTGTACACAAATATAAATACTTATTTATACTCATTTTGTGTTTCTGTAATAGTTATAGGGAAAATCTTACATTAGCAATTATTGTATTACCCTTTAAATTGATT